TAAATTAAGAGTAAAATAATGCTCTCCATTAGCAAGAGCAGTGGAGTGAGGATAGAGAGATGAGGAAAGGCCAATTAAGAGGTACCAAGTTATGGTTAGATAAGAGTAAGAAATTCTCATGCTCTATTGCACAGTACTGTTACTATAGATAATGATAGTGTAACATATATTCTTGTTTTTAAAAAGTGAGTATAAAGGATTTGGAATATTTATGCCATAAAGAAATGATAAATGTTTGAGGAGATATATGTTTACTCTGATTTGAACATTATACAATGTATACATGTATCAAAGCATCACATAGTACCCCATAAATGTACAATTTCATGTGTCAATTAAAAATATACAGTTTAAAATGAATTAAAAGAAAAATTGGAGTATTTGCAAAATGCAAAATATTGTGTTATTGATTGTAGAAATCAGAGGAGTGATAGCACCATGATGGCAAGGAAGGAAATCATAGGTCCTTCTCCCCTCAGGGAGATATAGATTTAACGATAAATGGACCAAAGGCCCCTTAGAGAAATCCAGAAGCCAATTAAAAATCTCGTGCATCTCACGTGATCACGAAGCCACATTTAAACAGGTTGTGGTTCTGGGAACAAAGATGATTAAATCAACCATGCACCAAACCTGCAGTACCATACAGAGACACTGGGTGGAGCTCCAGTACTATTATTTACTACAGCACCAGTGAGGCCGTCTTATCCCAGACAAACACCCAGGGGGAGCTCCTGAGTGGAAAGTGGCAAACTTCTTCAAATAGGTAAGCCCAGAAAAGACACATACCCAGGAAAAGCCACAGAGGTTTCCACAATTTCTAGCTGGGCAGGCTGGAGAAAGTCCTGTGTTATGAAATTCTGGGGGAGTTGTGTAATTCTTTAAATGCCAAAATCCCAGCACCAAATGGACAAGATGTGCAAAACAAAACAAACAAAACAAAACAAAACAAAACAAAAAACAAACCAAGGAATCATAACACATTTAAAAGAAAATGTTAAATTTCTAGACATGGAAACCAAAAGAAACAGAAATATGTAAATTTCCAAAGAATTCAAAATTGCTATTACAAGGACCCTTAATGAATAAAAAGAATAAAATGGACAACCAAATGAAATCAAGAAATTAATACATGGACACAATGAAAATACCAAAAAAGAGAAACTAAAAAGAGCAAAATAGAAATTCTGGAACTGAAGAATGCAATAACTGAATTGAAAAATTCACCAGTGGTCTCAGCAGTAGACCTGACAAAGCAGGAGGAACAATCATCAAAATCAAAGACAAGGCTTTTGAAATTATTAAGCCAGAGGAGCAAAAATGAAAAAAAGAACATTTAAGAGCTTAAGGAACTTTTGGGACTCCATCAAGTAGATTAAAATTTGCTTTATAGGAGTTCCAGAAAGAGAAAAAACCAGAAAAGGTGCAGAAACATACTTTTAGAAACAATGGCCCCTTGATTTCCCAAATATGATGAAAGAAATGGACAAATTCAAGAAGATCAGGGAACTCCAACTAGGGTAACCCCAGAGAAATCTAGACAAATGTCATAATCAAATTATCAAAAGTAAAAAAGAGAGAATCCTGAAAGCAGTCAGAGTAAAGTGACTCATCAAGTACAGGGGACCTCCTATTCAGTAGCAGAAATCTGGCAGCTAGACGTATGGAAAGAGAAAATGAGCCAAATAAAATTAGTAATATTTGGTAAAGCTGTTCAAAAACACAGGAGAAATGAAGGTTTTCCTAGGTAAACAGACACTGAGGGAGGTTACAACCATTTGCTTGCTGTGATTGTTTCAGACAGCTCTATGGGGTCATGTTGAAGACTCTCTCCCAGTCTCTGCCAAAGGGTTTGGCCATGCCCTACTCCAGAGCTGTCCAGGTCTCTGGTCATCTTTGCAGTGTCAGGCCTGTCCCATTCAAGGGAAGTATGCCACTCCACAGACAGATTTGACCAAGCTGCGCCTGTTGGCACTAGAACAATCTCGTTTTCCCATGAGGCATGGCAGCACTGAATTCAGAGCAGGTTTTGGTGCTTCTGCCCAGACTACGTATCATGAGTTCATCATTCCAAATGGTTCAGTTCCAATGTGTTTTGAGTTTGTATCCTGCCACTTCACTGACTAATTTATTAGCTATAATAGGATTTTCTTTTTTGGTGGAAAAAAGGGTTTTAAGACCATATCATTTGTGAACAGAGATATTTTACTTCTTCCTATCCAGTTCATATGCCTTTTTTAAAAAGATTTTTCTAATTGGTGTGGCTAAAACATCCAGAATTATGTTGACTAATAAAGGTGAGAGTGGGAATCTTTGCTTTGTTTCTGATCTTAAATGAAAGAGTTCAATCTTTTCCAATTGACTATGAAGTTAGCTGTGGACTTTTCATATTTAGCTTTTATATATTGTGGTAATTTTCCTCTTTCCTAGTTTGTTGAGTATTATCACCAAGAAACCCAGTTGCATTTCTATATGCAAGAAATAACCTGAAAATAAATCATAAATAATTCCATTTACAATAGCAACACATAGATGCTCTTTTTTATTCCCTGTCATCCATGATGTTGGATAGAGGAGTGGCACCCCAAGGAGGATGATAGAAATACCAGGACTCATATGAGGTCAAGATCTCCTGTTGCACAGCTTCCTTCTCTCTGTCCTTCATGATGTGGGTTTCAGTATTTTACTGTATTGTTCCACCCCACCTGCTACCACCACAGCCACCGAGCACCTCCGAGAGCTTGACGGCCACACCCTATCGCACAGCGCCGATATGCAGAATTGCTTCAAGCGACTTCTGCTTCCGAAGGACATAAACAACTGACACATCATTTGCAGTTTTCCGCCATCACGAACAGTCCTGGAAATAAGTCTCCTGTGCACAAGTGGGAGTATTTCTCTTGGATTAATGCCAGGAAGAGGGATTTGTGGGCACCAAGGTGTACACATTTAGATTGGATGCTGACGAAGCATCCCTAACGGCGCCCATGGCAGGTGGCACCTCCACCATTCTTGCAGTCTTCAGGGGTTAGTGGCAAGCTTAGGTTTTGGACTCAGCCAGGACTGCAAGAGATCTACTTACAAACAGTGGATCCAAGAGAAGACACTTAACCCCCTGAGTCACTTAAACTCTCTTCTTCACCTGCAAGATGAGGACAAGAGCAGTGTTGGTGTCCAGAATTCTTGCAGAGAATCAAGGCGTTGAGGCTCGCACTATCTTGCAGTCTCTGGCACTTGCTAAGTGCAGATGTAGGGCTGACGACCAGGCTTACTATGACTACTTTGTATCCCGTTCCCCTTCCCCTCCTCCTCCAGTAAACTGTAAGTTTTTCTGTAAACAGAACCATTGTGTTACAGTCTTTGCAGGGTGCCAATCATTCTGTGGTTACTGCTATGGGATGTGTGTGGCAACACACCCCGGGCTGCATATCTACACTGGCTCCCGGAAAGGATTCCACTGGGAAGCAAACTCCCATCTCAGGAAAGCGTGTTATGCTTGTCATCTCATGATAGTACTGAATAAAGCTTGCGTCAGCTCATTTTTTCCCTAAAAGAATCACTTCCCTATGCACTTGAGACTACCTACACTCTTCAAAGATTTGCATATGATACTAAAAATAACATCTTCAGAGGGGAAATTGTTAAATGAAGGGACTTGTCCTTGTAGGCTTGTTCTATTTAAGGAAAAGGAATATCTGGCACCTATTTTTTTCCCATAATATTTATCTATTTGAAAGGCAGGATGACACAGAGAAGGCAGGGAGGAGAGAGACACACACAGATACCTCATCCATCTGCTGGCTCATTCCCCAAATGGCCACAATGGCCAAGTCTGGGCCAGGAGCTGCATCCTGGTCTTCCAGGCAGAGTGGCTGAGATTTGAACTGGTGCTCTGATTTGGTATGTTGGCATCACAAGTGGTGGCTTAACCTACTGTGCCATGATGCTGGCTCCTACGTGGGCCCATTTTAAAGGAAGTTTTATGGTAACTCAGGCTGTCACAGAATGGAAAGAGAAAGCGATTCAGAGTCAAAGGGACCCATCTCTTTTTAGCTGGGGAAGACCCTTATTTCAGAGCTTCAATACTCAGGTTTATATTTACCTGATAAGGTCATTAAGATTTAATGAGATAGTGTGTGTAAGCACTGGACAAGAACCTTATATATATACAAGATCCTTAAGTCATGTTCATTCCAATCTACCCTCCTGGTGTCACTGACACAACCTGCATCATTCACCATCTGTCCATTGAACATCAGTTGTGTGCCAACAGGCACTTCTTAGGCAATGAGTAGAGAGAGACACATTACAGAGACAGTTCCACCTTCAAGGTGTCTTAGTCTAGAGAAGGATAGGCTCTTCATCAATTTTCTTCTTTTCTATAAGTTTTATTTATTCATTTGAAGTAAAGTTACAGAGAGCGAGGGAGAGATTCAGAGAGATCTTCTATCTGCTGGTTCAGTTGCTAAATGGCTACAATGGTCTGGGCTGGGCCAGGGGGAAGCCAGGATCCTGGAACTCCACCCAAATCTCCCACAAGAGTGGAAGGGCCACAAGACTTGCACCACCCTCTGCTGCTTTCCCAGGTGCATTAACAGGGAGCTGGATCAAAATCGGAGCAGCCACAGGGGCCGTCGCCGTGGCATAGCACGTAAAGCCACCTCCTGCAGTGCCAGCATCCCATATGGGCACTGGTTTGAGTCCTGACAGCTCCACTTCCAATGCAGCTTTCTGCTGTGGCCTGGGAAAGCAGTAGAAGATGGCCCAAGTCCTTGGGCCCCTGCATCCATGTGGGAGACCAGGAAGAATCTCCTGGCTCCTGGTTTCAGATCAGTGCAGCTCCAGCTATTGTGGCCATCTGGGGAGCGAACAGCAGGTGGAAGAAGTCTCTCTCTCTCTCTCTGCCTTTGCTTTTCTGTAACTCTGCCTTTCAAATAAATAAATAAATCTGAAAGAAAGAGAGAGAAAGAGAGAAAGAGAGAGAGAGAGAGAAAGAAAGATGCGCACCCAAACCTCAGAGCCGCCGCGCACTATGGCCGTGGCTCCAAGCGCCGTGCGCACAGCAGCGGGGGCGTCGTCACCTCCGGGGGGCTGCGGGTGCCCCTAGGAGTGAATGTGGAGGCCGCACACATGCGGGCAGGGTAGGGGGGTCCTCCTGGGTCCCCTGGGTCCCCGGGTCGAGCCCGCGCCTCACCCCGCCCCCCGCCCCCCCAGAAAAATAAAAACAAAAATAGAAAGGAAGGAAGGAAGGAAGGAAGGAAGGAAGGAAGGAAGGAAGGAAGGAAGGAAGAAAGAAAGAAAGAAAGAAAGAAAGAAAGAAAGAAAGAAAGAAAGAAAGAAAGAAAGAAAGAAAGAAAGAAAGAAAGAAAGAAAGAAAATGGAGCACAGCTGGGACTCAAATTGGTGCCCCATATGAGATGTCACTCAGCATCTTAACAGGCTGTGCCACAACGCTGGTCACCTCCCCTCCATCCCTTTTCTGTTGCTGTGAATTTAGCAGAATATCTGAGCTGAGTAGTTTATAAAATAAATACATTTCTTTAGCTCATAGTTCTGGAGGCTGGAAGTTCAAGACTGGGTACCTGTATCTGGCAAGGACCCTGTGAAGCTTCTACTCATGATGATAGGAAAGGCAGACATGTGCGAAAGAGACAATATGCAGGGAGCACCTTGCTTTCTAATAACATGCTCTTGCAGTAATCCCTCCAGTCCCATGACGGAGGAATTAATCCCTCTTAACGAACAAATCACTCTTAATGGCCCCACCTCCCATCACCGCCACAATGGCAACTAGATCTCAGAGTGAGTTTCTGAGGGGACAAACCATAATCAAACTATTGCTTAGGCTGTGGCTAAGAGAACTCAAGAGAAGGAGAAGCACAGTCGCAGCGTTAGGTCTGGGGCTCTGAGCTCCCAGCGTGGGAAGTCAGACTACCGCGCAGAACAGCCACCTGGGCTGTGTCTTGAAGGATGAGGATGAGTTTCCTGGGCGGAGCAGAAGAGCAGGTGTAAAAGCAATGATGGAAAGAGGACAGAGTCAGCTGACAATAGTGAATGCTTCTCTTTCTCCTGTAGAACACCTGGCCCAGAATGCTCACAGTCTCTCCTGTGGCCGGCATCCCAGTTCAAATCTCCATGCATTGGACTCACTAAGGAAGCCAAAATTTCATCATACCCATTGCAAACTGGAACTTGGAGCTCCATAAATGAACCTCAGCCTACAGGTCTGCCTGGAGAACCCTTGATGCATCCTTTGCTTTCTTTTTCCTTTACAGAGTGGAACTGAGCAAATCACAGCGGTGGTGTCTGGCCAGAAACAGGTCCTCCTTGTCACTGTTGATTGTAAGAGACTTTTTCCTCTGAACCCAGATCATTTAACCTCATTTCTAAAAGCTGTGCTCAGGCGCTGGTGGGTGGATGTTGCTAAGAACGGAAAGTGATCAATGATGCTTTCAGCAGATGTTCAAGGAAGTCACCCCGTGGGCATGGAAGTCTGTTCCTCCGTGCCCGTTTAATAAAGAAAATTCCAGAGCACAGATCAGTTTGCCATTAAAAGCAGCCATTCCCAGATGTAGTTCTTATGTCCCTTGAACTCTTTTATAAACTACAGGCATCTGCCAGCTGCTACTGCAGGCGGAGTTTACATACAGGCAGAGGAACAAAAACATGGTGGAAAATGAGCAGGCTGAAACCAGTAAGATGACAGACCGGAAGGAAAAATGCACAGTTTTTGCTGAGTTATTTTAAAGGAGCTCCAGCCCAGTTATAGCTGAGGATGACTCATCTGATTTATAGAAGCACAACAAGAATGGGGCAGGAGAGATGAACAAAAATAAGATAATTCTCGTTGTCATGCAAAGAGCTCTTCAAACAGCACATGAAATTAGCCATCTATTTAACCACTTTGCTCTTTAGAGAACTGGAAAAATTGCACCGGAGTTTTCTGAATTAGGTCTCAGTCCATAATTCCAATTTCATCAGTCTGGGATGCAACTTGGAATCAGCAATTGTAATATACAGCCAATTTGACAACCACTGGTAGAGATCTATAGCGACTGGAACCAAAAGATGCCAGAAAGCATGGCTTTCAGGGCTACGACTACATTGCAGGACTTCAGGGACCAGCAATCACTAAGTGTTCTGTGAGAATGTTCTGTGAGTGTGACTCTAGATGTGCCACCAGTGGCTGTATGATGACTGTGGCTGTCTCTAACTCTTTCGTTGGGAGATGCCCTGATTGTTACTCAAGTCTTGAATGCTGTCTCGTGTTCCTAACCATTTAATGCTCTTGATTTCCCAAGTACAAGTTCTTGTGAGAAGGATTGAATAGATCCAGCTCATCTTTTGGAGACAGATGACAAAAGTCGCCTGCTGCTAACAGATTGTATTACTCTGTTTTGGCTTGAATTTTGATAGAAAGGAGTGAAAAGGACCTAGAAAATATTTCAAAACCTGATTATGGGGGCTAGCGCTGTGACATAGTGGGCTAAGCCTCTGCCTGCAGCACCAGCATCCCCTATGGACACTGATTCTAGTCCCAGCTGCTCCTCCTCTGATCCAGCTCTCTGCTAAGGACTGTGAAATCAGTGGAAGATGGCCCAAGTGCTAAGTGCTTGGATCCCCGCACCCACATGAGAGACCCTGAAGAAGCTCCTGGTTTCTGGCTTTGGATCGGCCCAGCTCTGGCCATTGCAGCCATTTGGGGAGTGGATGGAAGGTCTCTCTCTGTCTCTGTTTCTCCCTTTGTCCCTCTCTGTAACACTGCCTTTCAAATAAATAATTAAATTTGAAAAAAAATGAGGGCAAATATTGGAGAAACCAGGCAGAAGCCAGAAGCCAGGAGCTTCATCAGGGTCTCCCACATGGGTAGAAGGGTCCAAGCACTTGGGCCATGTTCTGCTGCTTTCTCAGGCACATTACCAGGGAGCTGGATCAGAAGTGTAGCAGTGGGGACTCCATCAGCACCCATTTTGGATGCCACTGTTGCAGGCAGTGGCTTAACTTGCAATGCCACAACACTGGCCCCTTGTCTTTCTCTCCTCTCATCCATGTCTTACACTATTCTGTGTCTTAAGAAGACACTCATTGTTGGATTTAGGGCTCATTTGGTTAATTCACTATATCTCATCTTAATTACTTAATAACATATGCCACATTCACAAGTTCCATGTGGACACACCATTTAGGGAACCAACATTGAATCTAGTAAAGGACCTTGGAATCTGCTTTATTTTAGAACAACATGTCCTGAAGAAGACCAGGCACTCAAGAATCCATTTTTTAGGTACTATAGTTAGACTCTGTATTACCAATAGCATAAACCCCATCTAAAGCTGACCTAAACAATAAAGCAAATGTGTGGGCTCCTGGGAAGTCAAGATATAGGATTAGTTCCAAGTGAGGCTTGAAGCAGCAACTCAGTCATGTTACTGAGTTTCATTCCAAGCTTCCGCTCTGCCATCCATAAAGTTGCTTCCTCTTAAAGCTGGCTTCACTTGTGATCCTATAATGATAGCCTGTAGCTCCTGGAGCTGCAAATATTCTCAGCTGGGCCCAGGAGGACTGGCTGTGTTCTTGGAAGCCGCAGGGAGGAGACCTCCCTTACCAGATAACAACACTTATCCCAAAGGTGTGTCTAATCCAACATAATGTGATATTGGATTAGGGTTAGATCTAAAAAAATGGAATTTTCCCCCAAAAAAGAGTTGGTGAGGGCTTGAAGAAATGGAACTTTGTCACAGTGCTGGCAGTGAAAGTCAACACAAACGTGTCAGCAAGCAGTATTTGGTAGACTCATAGATGTCTATTAACTGTAACCCATCAATTCCACTCTTGAGTGCAATGAGCAAAATGCTAATACATGGAAACTCAATATGTGACTGAGATAACCCTAAAAATCACTGGGAAAAAGACAATCATCTGACATTCCACAAGGGAAAAGTTGAAATTAGATCACCAACACTTAATAGCACAAAAATAAATTTCAAATGGATTAAAGATCTAAACTGGTCTTTATCCATGTGATAATATCTTATGACCTTGGAGTGGAGACAGATTTCTTGCAAATATCATAAGTCATCAAGAGAAAAATGAAAAATACTTGAATACTTAAATTAAAAGCCTCCACTCAACAACAGAGTCAAACATCATAGCTAAAATTGTCATTAACTGACAATTGTTTAGTATCCAAAATACATATAGAACCCTCATAAATCCATAAAAATTAGTAAATAATGTAATAGTAAAACAGGCAAAGGATATTGAGGGCAAATTTAAAAAGAGGAAATTTAAAATGCCAATACACATATGAAAAATTTCTCAACTTCACTATTAATCAGGGAAAAGCAAATTAAAGCTACAATGAGATGTTATTTCACCTTGATTCATCTGGCAGAGATTAAAATGTCTGACATTATCATGAGTTGGCAAGGATGAAAATTGTCAATGTTATGAAAGATTTTTTAAGAAAGAATTTTCTAGATTAAAGTAGACTAAAGATACTTGATAATTAAATGCACTATTCAGTCCCTGGTTGGATTCTGAACTGGGGAGGAAAACTATAAAAGGCATTGTTAGATCAATGGGGAAATTTGGATCTGGACTGTAAAATAAGTAGTAGAATCATATTAATGTACAATTTCTCATTGTTGTGATTGCGTTACCTCATGTAGGAGAATGTCCTGGCTGATGACACATAGATTGTAATATAAATTTTAATATATGCATACATGTTGAAATATGGAAAAATAAAGGCCAAGGAAATTTGAGGAAGAGAAAGTAAATGTAATAGAATGTTAACAACTGTTGAGTCTGTAAGAAGTATGCACATGTGCTCATTCTACTACTATGGCAATTTAAAATGTTTCTCATGAAGAAGCCACAAGGACACAGAAAGTAAAAATTTTGCCATTGTTATTGACCATATAAACTGACCCAACCACTTTAGAGAACAATTTGGTAATGCCTAATTATCTAATTCTACAAACCACTGAGTATCTCTTAAGACTTTTTTTTATATATAAAAAGAGTTATTTATTTGAAAGGTAGGGTCATAGATATAGAGAGAGGCAGAGGCAGAGAGAGAGAGAGAGAGAGAGAGAGAGCTAGAGAGAGATCTTCCATCTCTGCAACA